TTAATAGGTCCACATGTGAAGATGTATGTTATAATGGAATTGCATTGTAATAAGTTCTGTTGTAGTATTATATATATGCTTCTGATGCACATACTCACTGTCAAATTACTGATACTGATCTTGAATGGCAATCCCAATCACATGTTTTATTGTCAATGTAAAATGATTTATACAACTGAAAAAATAAATGGTATTAAATTGTTATTTCCATCACAGAAATGTCTGTGACTTTACTTGTGTAAAGGTATAGTTACATACTCTGAACAAAAGAGATTTGAAAGGGGATTCATCTTTTGATGTCAGTTTGACTGCTCCATTGCACCTGGATCATATCAATATTTTGAGTTAAAAATCTGGCACTAGGAGACACTCGGCTGCAGGAGGCCATTTTAAGCTGATCTCGGCAGTATTATGAGCAGCAAACTATAACAGAGCTCCACCATCCTCTGAATTATAATGAAGTCATGATGGAGCCAGTTGGTTGCTTTAGGTGCAGCTTGTAATTTAACAGTGTGTGCAGAGCATGGAGAATATGAAAATGCACCCTGTGACATGCAGCAAAATACAGACGATATAAATGTGGTCTGTCACAGGCAGTATTGGCTCCAATTGAATTAACAGTGGAATGCTATACAATCATGCATGACTGTCTCCAAATATATGCTGCAAGACATGACACCAGTGATAACAGGCACTGCAGTATGACCATGCAGGCCAATGTGCCCTATGAAAAGCATTAGAGGTGACCAGGATCGTTTGTTTGTGTGTACTTAAAAATGTGAAGCCAAACCTTCTTATAATTTTTGAGGTCCAAAAATAAATGCAGCTGGACTTTTATAGTTATTGTGCCACCAAACAGCCAGCTTCTAGGATAGGTCTGTGAGGTGAAGTAGGCTAAATCACACCATTTATTGGTCTAATGGAAAGTGGCTGCTGCAAAAACAAGAAGACAAAACAAGGAGATCTTATTACTTTGCCTGGAATGTTCCATGGCACGGCACATGGAACAACACATGTATTTCCATAGAGAGAAGAAACCACCAAGTTACAGATCAGATCTGCAGGAGGAGATAATAAGGATGCACATTTTCCAAGGTGCTTTGAGCAATATAAGCATCCGTAATGAAATTAATACAAAGTATAGATTTGATGCTTTTCTGTGGAATACTCCAGACAAAGCAATGCCATCTCCATGGAGACAAGAAGGTGGCATACTGTCCACCAGAAAGTTTAAAGATGCAGCGCACCTTTAAACTTACAACCTAGTCATTATTTTTCAAAACCTTCTGAATATGGAGCATAACTGAGACATTACACTGTTGAAGTTATAAAACTCTCTAGCACATGTTGTAAAATTGCACACATGGAAACACATTTCTTGTAATTTATTTATTTGGAAGTTCTATTTGCATACCTCTAACTGTGATAACAATCTCAGTCCCTCTGAGTTTTAAATATTTGACCAGAGTCAGTAGAGTCACTTCTAAATGCATATGAGCTTAAAGCCAAGAAAAGTCCTGCTTTTGTTAAATAAATTGTCAAAATAAAAACATTTGTCAGATCAAAATGTTCAGGCCACTTTGGCAATAAAAACATACTACACTAAACTAAATAAAGCCATTGATTATTAAGTGTTTTCTTTTTGTCTGCAGTAGCTACTACCAGGGGCTCTCACAACAGTCATTTAAAAGCAGAGGAAACTTGACAAAACAAATGGATTTGAAAGTAGTACTCCTCCCTCCACCATTTTCACCCAGCTGACTTGGCGTTTTGTATTTAACCTTAAGCTTCAAACCTGGAGCAGTGTTCTCTGGTGTTGTTTGTGTCTTCACTGGTAGAGTCATAAGAGAATGTGAGGAGCACATTCACCCAGGACAAATCAAACCATGCAACATCCAACATCACTATTATACAAGCCTAAAAATAAGATTGGAATGACATGATCCCTAATACTCAGCAACAGGAAGTGGCTTTGCCCAATCTCAGTGTTTAGTTCAAACATTTGTCTTTATAGTTTTCAAGCTTTTTTCTGAAACAAGCTGGTATCTGTTTGTGTGCTGTGACTTAATTAATCACAGCAATTATCCATTGAGTAAAAAGAAAGCAATCATTCCTCATTTTCTGTTTTCCCAATTAAAACTCTCGTTAAAGATTGTCTGTATTCATCTGATCAGCTACTTCATTAGTGTCCTATATTTAAAAATATAGCAGCTATAGCTAATATAAAAACCTTCATAATGTAAATACATGTTGATATTGATAATTTACCCTTTTCTTGTCTAAATGAGCTTTTTTTTTTTATCATGGCTGATGCTGCTCTGAGAGAGCCTGGTTCAAGTCCTTTCATCTTTGGTGGCAAATTTGACATAATGAGGGGGCTGTGTAGAGCTCTTTGTTGCAATCCCCTGGTTGGATGAGCACATCTCAAATTGAATACATCATTCAGTTTATTAGATGGAAAAGGGCATGCAGGTTCAGGAGTCTATTTTAGCTACAACTCTGTAGTTTCAGAAGTCGGAATTTGTTTTATAATCGTAATTTCAAACTTGATGCTCTCAAGTTTACAAGTTCATTATAAGTAAACAAGGTGGCAATCTTTATTATAATCAAGCATTTATTGTAATCTATTATCAGTAATCGTCTATAGAGTTATTATTTCTTACTGACTGTTGAAAAGACTCCTTTTGGAGACACTGATAAATGTTGAAGTAAAGATGAAGAGTTTATTTCTTGCATCTCCTTATAATGTCAGAGGGGTTTACATAACTGTTGGGTTTACATAAAATGTCTTAAACTACCAAACCAAATGAATTTTACTTACAAGACCAAGTGTGTTTTTAAAAGATAAAATAAACACACAGAATTTTAACTTCCTTTACAAGTTTTCTCCTGACCTATTTCTTTATATTTTATATTGTTAAGCAACAGCCATACACATCTTTTTTTTGTATCATCATTGCCTTGCTCTGTATTATTGCAATTGGAGTATATGTGCTAATGAACTAACACAGCAACAGTCATTTAATGAATTTTAAGACAGTACGTAGGTGTAGAAATGACAGCACTAAGTAAAGGTAAGTATAATAGTTTTTACATCATAAAACTCATTACATATTTTTTTACACTAAAATACACTTCAACCTTCACTGCCATCTGTTCAGTTTAGGTTTGTTAAAGGCAATACTCAACAGTTACTCATTTGTCTGTTGTTTGTTCTTACTGGTAAAATAAATACATTTGCAGCGCATCATTTCAGTGTTAGTGTAAACTTTAAGCTTAGTAAGAATCTTCAGTACACATACATGATCAGCTCGCACTAGTATTATAGACTATGTTTGTAATGTGCCTTCTGAGTTAATCATGGACAGACATCTGCAATCAATATCTTAGTCATAGTAAAAATTATTTTGACAATTTCAAGCTTCATTGATTGTGGTGTGCAGTGAATGACACGTTGTTTATGAAGACACACATCTACTTTGCCCTAAGGTACTCAGACAGATTTGAAGAGAATCGTTTTGTTCTCCTTGACTAAATAAACTGGTCGATTTGAATGAAATCTTTAAACCAATTATATAATTTTTTTGCATTTGGGAGTAGTGATCCATTGACAGTTTTTGAGGGTATACAATAATGCCTCCAATACAACAGAAAACATTGCTGTTTGCTACACTTCAAAATAGCAATAGCAATAGCAAAAGATCAATTTTCATTACCTCTCCGCTGATTTAACTGTTGGGTAATATTGGCTAATGTGAGCATAATGAAACGAATGCCTAGAGTACATTTTGTATTCTGCATACTTATTAAGAGTGCTTATTTGTTTTGCATGCTTTCACTTGGTCACGTTTTTTTTCAACCCCCACAGACACACTTAAAGCTAAAAATGTCTGGGTGGCTACTTACTGTGTGGGGCAAAATTATTATTTACATTATTTAGCTCATATTATCGCGGCATTTTTAAAGGCACGGACCTAAAACAAGACAACCTTTTAAAATTTACGCTTTTTCATTTTTCGCATCCTCGAGCATTTCTAATGTTCAGGGTCACACAGAAGGCAAGAGGCACGTGATTTTTAGATACCTGGTGAAAAGAAGAACAGAGGAGCAGCAGAGGAGGAGGGGGCTGGAGCGGAGAGACTGCGACGGGACCGGACTCTCTTCACTGTGGACTCGCGTTTCAGCGGCGTGAGAGCGCACGAGACATTTGGAGACGCTGACGAAGCACGTGCTGGTCCTTAACACAGTTTATGTCGCACGGACTTAACGCATTCTGTAATAGTGGGATATACTGTATAAAGACTAAAGACTGTTACAGGACAATTTTAGCGCGTGGTAACGAATGGAGTACGTAATGTAAGTGATGTGCTCCTTGGCACACTTGACTCAAATTCAGCTGAATAGAAGCCTCGACTGGAATCACAAAAGTTGTTGTTGAAGCTGAAGGACGTTTCAAGGATCAAACCTGAGTGCCAAACGTCTCCTAAATCCAAAAGAATGGAATTTCTTCTCTCGGACTACGTTCTTGGATAAAGTAAAACCTGGGAAAATACACATCTCTTTACTGGTGACGAGCGTCCCTCGGCGTAGCTCTAAGTGGGGCCACTGTTTCGCGGTGAGCTTAAGGCTGTGACTTCCCCAGAGGCACATGGTCGCTCCAGCATGCCGCTGACAATTTTACTCTCCTGTGTCTCAGCACCAAACCCAGGAAAAAAGAACTGAAAAACTAGAAAAGGAAAGAAGCCACTTTACTCATTGCCTATGACTGCTGGGACTACGGATATACGCAAAATGACCGCGCTTAATCATATCACTCTGGTGATTCTTTTTGGTAAGTAACCTACAACCACCTGCGGCACAGTCACGGGACTGGCCTCTCTGATATTCAATCATTTAATCATGATGCTTTTAAAGATCATTTTCTGTGTTAAAAACTTTGATACAGTTCTCTAGAAAGCTCAGTGTTCTTCGTAAAGTCGTTAGTATTGTTTTCCACCCTCATGCTGCTGAGCATCATCAGTATTCACTGGGTTATGCGTTAGAGCGCAGAGTTGTGGATGTGGGCAGTGGCGCTGTCCGTGGTGCTGGAGCAGCCGCATCCTGAGTCTCCTGGTTCTGTTAGCGCTGCTCTGGTCTGACGCTTCATTGTCAAACAGATAAACACTCACACAGTTACCTGCCTTGACAAAATAGGCCCTTGTTGTTTATTACGCTCAGTTGTTTAGTTTTATTAGTTTTATTTCCCTCATGGCTTTTGTCTTGCCAAAGATAATCTGTTGAACCACTAAAGGCCACCTGTTAACACTTTAATTGACAGCTGGTCCTGGTATTGTATTTCACTAGCCTGCTTCTACTCATGAATTGCAATAGAGCTGAAATTATTTTATCCAAAAAAAAAGGGCCTTCAATACTTGAAACCTCCTCTAGCTTCAACAATAGAACAGAAGCTTTGTTGCTATGGTAACAAATGAATCATCTCAATCAATCAATCAATTTAGATTACTCCTGCCATTAAATAAGTGTCCTAATTTTGCATTGAAACATGCACTGAAAAGACATCATAAATTGAAAATGATTTAGACATGAGCTATAAAGATATTATTTTGACAGCGACCACCACAGCTGCTTAGTGCTTCCTTATGTAAATCTCTGATGCAGCTCCATATAATTGGTTTTGGCTGTAAGCTGAAAGGAGCCTGGCAATGATGGCTGCTTTTAGAGCCCAAGAAACCTTTACGATACAAAGTGAAAATTTTTACTTTTGACAAGGAAATCCCAGTTGATACTGTAGTGTGAAAAGGCTCTGTATAAATACTAAATAATGACTATAGCTGGAGCATAAGCAGCAGACCCTTCCTAAGAATGTGTTGTCATGTGTGCCTCTGGTCCCTATGCAGAGGTGCTGGTGTGCGACTCAGAGCTGGTCCCTCCGGGTTGGAGAGAACCTTTGGACTGTGTGAGAGCCTCTGAAATGTGCAACCAGAACAGCCAGTGCAGCTCCCGCTACCGGATCATGCGCCAGTGCCTGTCTGGAGGAGACAAGGAGCGTAGTGCCATGCTCGCATCCAAGGAGTGCCAGGGGGCGCTAGAGGTACTGCAGGACTCTCCACTATATGACTGCCGCTGTAAGAGAGGCATGAAGAAGGAGCTGCAGTGCCTCCAGAACTATTGGAGCATCCACATGGGTCTAACTGAAGGTAAGGCCAAGCACTCAGTTGTGTTAAGAGGGGATGTTTTCAGAGCTGTCATACATAGGCCTACAGATAAAAGATTAAATGTTTAGAGAGGTTCATATTTAGAACTAAATAAAACACCCAATTCCGTACATCAGGGCCAAACTGGTCTCAAGTCCTTTATGTTTTATTCTGCATTCTAGCACTTTTGTTAAATTAGTAGAAAGACTCCACAGTGTGAATCCCTGTTTGTGCAGTAAAATCCTGCACACATGGGTACTCTTCCTGATCACTGTGGAGCAGGACAGGCCACAGCACATTAACTGAAACATTCCCTGACTGCACAGGGATCAGAGGGACCCCAGACACCTGGCTAACGGCTATGCTTGGTCCTGGTCCCACTGCCTCTCTGCTCTGCCTTGTGTCTGTGTCAGCAGCTCTGCACACTGCTCTGGCCTTTCTGCTGCTGCTGGCCTAGTTTAGGTCTCATTAGGAGGCTCACACTTTGTTCTCAACTCCACTCAGATGTGGCTTAGCAGTGTTCACAAAGCCCGGCCTTACACAAACAAGGCAGACTCACTTAGAGCAAAGATAGAACTGATGTTGTTCTCAAACTGCATATGAAGCACACTGTTGCCAATACAAAGTTGTCACATGCACCTTTTTCCATAAACCTGGTGTGAACATATGGTGAAGGTGAAATATGGTTCACGTTGTTATTGTTGTTTTTTACCTCTTAAAAATATTAAAATGTGATGATATTCTTTTAAAATTTTCTTATTCAAACGAATATCAATTTAACTTTTGAACTATTTTCTTTTCATAAAACCATTTATTCATCCCTATAATCTTGTGATTGCCACTAGTGTTTTGAAAGCATCTGGAGAGGAAGAGAAGAAAAGTGCTTCATAAATTAAGATACACTCGGCCTTGTGTGATACTAAATAATTCATAGTGATATTATCTGGAAACCCGAGAAATACAGTATATCAGACAAATCGGCGATTATTGACTGAAACTTGAGAAAATCATATAAAGCTTGCTGCAATGCAATGTATTTGTAAGAAGCTCGTAGCATGTTACTTTTCTTCCAGATATAAAGCCAAAACATTTGATCATTAAACAATATAAATAGTGGTCAGAAAAGGCATCTATAAAAAGAAGAGTCTTGAACCAAAAACCATGAGCAGATGGCAAAATTTAGAGCAACATAGACTATACATACAATGTTTTAAGATGCTGAAGTTGTGGTTCATTCCTAAATTCTACAACAAAGTCAAAACCTCCCATGCATGATGTATAACTGGGTATAGGTTGCTGGTGAACGGATCTGAAATGTGAAGTAAAACTAGTTGAGTCTGGTGCTATAATTACATTAATAAAGAAACCACTGCTCCTCTCTGTTTTGTATACAAATTAAGATGTGTTATCTTATAGATGACTGATAGAAAATCCTGTCCGTTTTGGAAGTCACAATTTCTTAAACTATTAAAGTACACTGAAGAGTTCTCCTGCTTTGTGTCTCTTTTTGTGTGCATATTTAATGGGACACAGAGCATTTGCTAGTTATAAAGCTTAAAAGTTCTATTAGAATTTGAGAATAAGTAGCAGGTGGAAATTATTCATCGCTATCTTTTCTTGATTCATGAAACAGCAGTTTGATTTACAAGAGGGATTACAAATTTTGGTGCAAAGAATAAAACAAATGATCTATAAGTAACATCTTTAAGAATGGAGTCTAACGTCAAGCCTTGTTCTAAAGAGGCCTTTATAAATTCAATCATAATCATAAGAATGTTTTTTGCTTGCTATTGTCTCAGCCATAATACTATTAGAAAACAAGGGTTATCTCCTGACTTGTTAAATAAACATGAAATATTTAATTACTCAGGTTTGACAGAGTTGGGGCACTCAGCACTGGGGGAAGTGTGATTAGTGGGTATTCCTCTGACACTTGTAGAATCCAGGGTAGCAGATGAGTAATGACTTTTGGGTGAGGAGGGCACTATAGTTGGATGCAGTGGCCCCAGGATGTACAATTGCAACTAACAGTTCACTAGCTTGATTAATGTAATCACAAACAGGAACAGGAACATCAGGAACAGGAACATCAGGAAGTGGTGACATCATTCTTATTTTTACTTCTGGTACAGCATGGTAATATATAAATTTCTATAATTCCTCTTTTTTCAAATGTGGGCTTCATTGTCTTTCCTACTACTAGTACAGGTCATAGGGTGTTGCACGTTGGTAGGTCAGTGTCTGTATAAATTGGTGAAGGGGGAAAGTTATTGCATTGTGGCCCATATAAACATGGAAGAGGAAAGTGCTTTTCAGTCACCTGGCAGTGCTGTTCTGTTTGGTATTTTGAAGTTTGTTTAAGCTAGAACATAGCCTGTGGAATTGTTAATTGCTATGAACATAAAAAAAAAAAAAAAAAAAACTCATTTGAAACTCATGGCTAGGGACAGACTATTCAAAACAGATGGGGAGAAGGGGCATAAAAACATATTCATTTTGTTTTCACATTACAGACAGATTTAAAGATTTACTTGTAAACTACAACCTCTTCCCTTCAAACATGATTCACTTAAGTTTTCTAGAGATAAGTGACATTGAAGCATAATGTTGGATGTATGGATTTGTAATGTAGCTTCACTTCTCTGTCAAATACAGTATCTAAAGCTATTTCAATCAATCTATTGATTTTCAAATTCAGCTGCTGAAGACTTTCTCTAAACACTGGAGACCTGGGCAAAAGGGGATTGCATTACCATTAGTTCTGCTTCTTTGCAAAAGCATATAACACAGTTGCCATTAATGATAAGTGTTTTGAAGTAGAGCTATTACTTCTCACTAAGAGTCATCGGCAGAGGTGTGAGGTTCATTAATGGAAGCTATTGCTTTATAGTTTCCTCTATAATAAAGAAACATTTAATCAAGTGCTGGTCTCAAATATAGTATCTGTACCTTTCTCCATCATTGAGCCACTAATTGTTTATTGACTGACTTACATGCCATTCCCATATTTAAGATCTGAAACAGTTGTTTCAGTGCTTTCATGATTTAAATATACTTCTTTGGGTAAGTAGTTAATGATTTTCATGTTGAGTCATAAACTTGTGCCCAACAGATTTTGCACCTCTGTACTATACACACATGGAACCATCCAACTTTGATTTAGAATATAGGCAAACAGGGTGAATCCATGACATCTCAGTTAGGAGGCATGGGATATTGCCCTCTGATCTGCTGTTATAGTTAATGCTTCAGCCAATAAAATGGGCTCCAAATTAAACTCTGTTTAAGACTCACCTTATGATAATGCTGTTTATTCAACAGCTAATGTCTTGATACAAAAATCATTTCGTTTACAATTCTGTAAAATTTTCAATCAATAATTCTTTACATGTACATTTTACACTTAACATTTCATTTAAAATGTTTAAATTAGGTTTCACTTGATCTTATATTGACTGATTTTTATTGATATTTATTTCATTCATCCATGTTATTTTTTCTTATTCAAGCAATTTAAATTATAAATGAGATTTTGAGACACAAACTCAATAATCCAAAAACATCAGTGACAGTTTGTTTTATTATAGTAAATATAGATGTTTACACCAAGACACCAGCAAGTTTTTTTTCCAGCTTTCCAAAATTGATCAAGAAGAAAGATGGGTGTCTTTGCCTACTTAGTAGATGACTGTGATTTTAATTAGGTGAGCTGAATGGCTTACACTGACTGTGACATTCTAGTTAGAGCATGAGTAAGCACTGCTCACCTCAAATCTTGTACATGTTCACAACAAGAGTGCTACTTTTCTCTGTCATCAAAGTTCAAGTTAGTTTGTTATAAAACTGTAACCTCCAGCAGAAGCTCCATCTGAAACACTGCTGCTTTTGGTTAAGACTATACTTTCTGTAGACATGTGTTGAAAAAATACTGTCAGACTCCAGCGAAGTTGGTTGATTAAACATCGTTGTTTATGTGAATTAGAGTTGACAAAGGATGTGCAAACAACATAGAAGGATCAGTGGAGATAAAAGAGTGATATCCAGGGAATTAGATCAAAGTGTGATGACAGCGTATGACGGAGAGAGGGGGAGGCAATTTCAGACTAGGAGCACAAAAATGGAAAATGGAGTTCAGAGGGACAGGATCAGAAAGCACAGATCAGACAAGCATCAAACCTGCATTTATCTGAATGTTCCTCCGTATTTCCATCCATTAAAGACACAATGCTCAGGCGCTGTCGTAGACTAAGGTCGAATGGCTGTCTTCACTTTACAAGCCTCTTTCAGATTATTGTCACATATTTTAGAGTCCTGATGGCTCAACACGAAACATATAACAATACATCGGCTTGATGGTTGATTTTAATTACACTGTGGTTCTGTCAAACAAATCAGAATCACTAGATTAACTCTTCAACACAGTGTTATTGATGTATTCATGCAAGGTCAGTGTAATATTTTCAATCTGTTGGCCCCTAAAACCCAAGAGCAGAATTCATTGGACTATCAACATATATGGTATCTGCCTGTACGTCCTTCAAACCAGTGTAGTGAGTTGGTTGTAAATTTTACATCCTATCAAAGGGTTTGGAGGATTTTGGACATCAATGTCATTAAAACAAGAAAATCTCATTTGAATATTTATAGTACTTGAGTTAGAGGGAACTCAGAGTGTGACAGAAAGCTTAGGGCAGACTTGAGCCCCCAAAAAACAAAAAAAAAGTTTGGTTATTATACATATACCAATATTGATACTGATCTAACCTATTAGATCACAGTGCACAACATACTATTTCCTCAACCAACCAAGAAAGCGCATTTGCAGTGCACTTCTTGTTTGCATTCAGTGGCAGACTTCAGCATTCTTTGGTCTTCTTCCATGTTATGATTTTATATTCAGTCATTTTGCTCTGAGGGGAATGTCTGCTCCTTTATCTGATTGGCGCTGCGTCGTCTTTACCACAGGTGCCAATGTTGGATCAGTTTGGGATGAAATCTGAGCA